GTACGGTACCTGGGTTTCATAATAGATAAAGACGGAAGACGACCAGATCCAGAGAACATTGAAGCGGTGAAAACAATGCCTAGACCCAGGGACATTACCACCCTACGATCATTCTTGGGGTTGGTCAGCCATTATGGTACCTTCCTCCCTGATCTCCATCGTCTACGTTCTCCACTAAACAACCTATTACAAAAGAATACGAGATGGAATTGGTCTGCAGACTGCCAAGCGTCTTTCGAGAAAATCAAGCAACTCCTGACTTCCAATCTTTTATTGACACACTATGATCCTTCTCTACCGATAGTCGTCGCTTCAGATGCTTCGAACTATGGTGTGGGTGCAGTTATCTCTCACATTTTTCCTGATGGGTCTGAAAAAGCTATCTCACACGCTGCCAGATCTTTGACAACGACCGAAAGGAACTATAGTCAGATTGAAAAAGAGGCCCTATCAATTATCTTTGCGGTGAAGAAGTTCCATAAGATGATATATGGCCGACATTTTACTCTAATAGCAGACCATAAACCACTACTTGCAGTTTTTGGGTCAAAGAAAGGTATTCCAGTTCATACAGCTAACCGACTCCAACGATGGGCAACCACACTTCTTGGTTACGACTTCAAGATAAAGTATCAGTCTACTACTGCCTTCGGACAAGCTGACGCATTGTCAAGATTAATAGGCTCCAAATCAAAAACCCCAGAGGAGACTCTTGTAGCAAGTATAAAAGCCGAGGAAGAAGTTCATCGGGTATTGGATGACGCAATCAATGGACTCCCAGTAACCTTTGAAACTATCAAGAAGATCACTGAATGCGATAAGATACTGAGCACAGTCAAATGCTATCTCTCGTCCAAATGGCCAAACAATCGCCTTGACGGAGAACTTTTGCAATATTTTCGTCGACGGGACTCACTAATGGTTGTTGACTCGTGTATTATGTTCGGTGATCGAATTGTTATTCCGAAGTTATTACGTCACAAGGTTCTCAAGCAGTTTCACAATGGCCATCCTGGAATAAATAAAATGAAATCGTTGGCTCGTAGTTATGCTTATTGGCCGTCAATGGACAAAGATATCGAGAATAAATGCCGTAACTGTCCATCATGCATTCAAGCCGCTAAAAATCCTGTGAAATGCGAACCTCAGTATTGGCCTACGCCTGCAGGACCCTGGGAAAGAATTCATGCAGATTTTGCTGGTCCAATCCAAGGAAAAATGTTTCTAATTATCGTAGATGCATTTACTAAATGGCCGGAAGTATATACCATGCCAAATTGTACAACCTCAGAAACAATCTACAAGCTGTCTACCCTGTTTAGCTGTTTTGGAGTACCAGAGACCTTAGTAACAGACAACGGCTCGCAATTCGCCGCAGAATCGTTTAAGCATTTCTGTAAAGCAAACGGAATAACTCATCTTCGTTCTCCACCCTATCATCCACAATCTAACGGACAAGCAGAACGCTTCGTGGACACTTTTAAACGAGCATTACTGAAGGGGGGAGGCGAAGGGCCGACTGGGCAGGTGATCACGAAATTTTTAACATCCTACAGATCCACTCCGAATCCGAATGTTCCGGACGGCAAGTCTCCTGCGGAAGTCATGTTCGGAAGACGTGTTCGAACCGTCTTCAATGCAATGTTGCCATCTCAATTAGTTGATGAGCGCAGTCACAATCCAAGTATTCGGAACTTCAGTGTCGGCGACAAAGTTTACATTAAATCCTACATCGGGAAGAACCGATGGGAGCCAGGAGAAGTCGTACAAAAATTGGGAAGAGTTCTGTACAGAGTTCGAGGAACTTTTGGGATGTGCATACGACACACAAATCAAATCCTTAAAGACAAAAGAATGATGCAGAATCGAAGTAACCCGCCGAATTTCCCGTTAGATTTAATCTTAGACGCACCAACGCCACAAACGCCAAAGAACACTGGAAGGAAGCCGTGGACAGGGAAGACGACGAGAATAATGGGACGACGTCGCAACCCAGTTACTAAACTACAAGTTGACCCTAGGAAGAAGTCTTATTCGGGGGAGGTGTTAAGTCGGCTTCCCGCGAACTCCAACAGAGCCCCCAGAGGCTCAAAAAGAGTCCCAACCAATCAGAGTACGACAGAACATTCTGGAGTTCCAACGTGGCACGCTACCATTGGTCAGTAGCAATATATGTCGTTTATTGGATTGGCTGAATTAGGATGTTGATTTAACTTAAGCAAACATCTATAAATACTTACGATTTTCTGTACAAAACTGATCCCTGCAGTAAAGGTTTTCTCTGCTACTCGTGTCTTCTCTCCGGTCTTCAAGTTGCTGAGTATTGCTAGCCTGGGGTTATCCGTATAGCTTAGGATCTGAATAAGCGTTCAACCCACAAGACATATCACTTTTCGGCTTCCCGTCTTTTAACACGGTCCGCCAACGGTAAGTCCTTACAGAGAAAAACTCCTGAACCCTTTAATTTGTGTCCATTTTCTAAGATTAAGTCGCGTTCGTTTGAGGATTTGAAAACGACTTTGAGTAGTCTAGAGTGATTTGGTTTCAGATGCGCTAGATTTCCTAATCTATACACCTTTAGCAAGGTGACTCCGGGGATGTTTTTGGGCATAACTTGGTTGAGTAGTTGTTTTATCAACACAATGTCATGCTCAAAACGAGCTTTCGGTTCTAAGTTGTCACTCTCCTTGACTCTATGGAGAATGACTGATCTGTCGCTGTGATCAGACCTCGGCTTGTCGACCCTTTTGGTGGGGGTATGACTTCCTTTTACGTCATTTTGGCGTTTTTTTCTTACGAACCGTACCCAATCGCCAACGTTCTTTGGAGTGGTAACCACATTCGCGTCAGGCGTACTGTGGGATTCCGGAAGAGTCAGGACGACTTGGGAGATCGGGTCATCTTTCGCGCTGGAAACCGATCGAGCCTTGCGGTTTCGGCTTCCTGAAGTTCCCTTCTGGGTACCATTTTTGATACGAGGGACAGAAGAAACTTTTTTGCGCGAGTTTCTGGTTGTAACAGTCCTCTTTGGAGGATGTTCTTCCTCCTTAGTAGGGTGTGGGTCGGCAGTTTTTGGACTCACTTGGGCCTGCCTTGTGTCAATCTGCGTGTCGATAGATTGAGTTCTGACTGATGTATCCCGACCGCGCTTGCCGAGACACTTTTTTGCGGCATTTACTATTGAAATGGCCTCGGTTAGCAGGCTATTTGCATCCAAACAGCACTGTTGACATAGCCATACACATCCATTTTTACTAAACCGCTTGAAAGCTGCAGGTGTTAGATTCGTGCAAACATCGTGGTACCAACCTTTGCACTCATCGCACTGCATGCCGCTATCAACAGGATATCGACATCCTGGGCGGTGGCAAATGCTATTGTTGCATCTTCCGGTCATTTTAAGATGCGAAAGTGAGTGTTGACTATAAGTAGAAAAAAAAACTATAAACAGTTAGGACCAAAGTACTAACAGACACAATGGAAAAAAAAGGTACTCTGGAGTACCGACGATAAAACTATTTAGGATACCAAAGATGATACTCTAATAGAATACTTTAACTGAAAGAAATTCAATCAAAGTATAAAAACAGTAGTCTTGATACGTTAATAACGATCAAAACAATAGAATTTACTCAACGAGGAAAAATACCACTGTCCTTTTTAAATAGCGCGCACTCAATTTTGAAAAATTTGTACACTACAAAACACAGTAAGCACAATAAACGCTTTTGGAATTGATTTTGTGAATTTGCTACAGCCAAAAAAGACGCGAATACAAGAAAACCTGATATTCGTGCAAACCAGAGGACAACCAACCGACCCACAACAAATCAAATACGGAATGACCGCCTCGTGTCAGGCCGTTCAAGGTCGCAAAAAGGAAACGGCGGGCAGGTTTGAAAACGCACTGACTTATTTACCTTGCCCACTCAATCGATCATTCATATGCTAAAATGGTTGATTCTTTGTTTTAGGACTTAGGATAAAATTGAAATGATCAGACTACTTTCTTGACTACTGTAGTGGTCGATCTTTGAGGAGTGTACAGTTTAGTCTCTTCTGAGGTATAGGGACTAACACAGGCCACCAAGCCTCCTGTCCTTTCCAAACTGAAACTGAAACTGAAACTGTATGTCTCCATCTTGCGGTTTTTTTCGCATCCTCTCAATGTTTTCTAGTTCTGCTTGCCCAAAGTTTCCCCAAACTGATAAGATTCTCCCTAAAATTGGGAGATTCAAATGTTCTCCGAAAATTTTCAAATTATAACTAGCAAATGCATATCGCTAGGCTGTCGTCCTACTTTTCGGAACCGAACTCGTCCAAACCTTGCCTCATACACTTATTGAGTTGTCATTTTTCCTTTTAAGGTGACATTCCAGATTTAAATTTGTTCGTAAAAAGTGGCTGAACCTCTACCACAACTATGTGTCCTGTAATATCATTCAAATCCCCCGTCAATTATTTTCCTAAGCCTGATAGTTTTTCGTATAAATTAGTATCATTTTTAGTGTGGAAAGGACAAGAGGCCTGACGTCCTGTGTTAGTCCTGTTAATGGTGGTCTCTCAGTCGATCTATCTTTATTCCAAAAGTGTTGATATATGAATCTTTAATCACATATTGAGGTAATGAGTTGCATTCGTTGGTTAGTCGGATATGACAGGAGCCTCAGGTACATTAAATAGACTTGTACCAAAATATTTTGTTATGTATATAGTAACTGCTTTTTGGTAAATTTAATTAACACGATCATGTTTCGCTGTTTTAATAATTTTACTCCAACCTTTATGTTTATGTATGTTGCTTTACAAATGTTCTTATATATCACATCATGCAGTTTAGTAAATACACAAGAAAAAGCCATCTCGTGATCATTTGATTTTCACATAGAAATGTTGGTCATTATATTATAACTTTGTATTTCAGTGTGTTCGCATATTAGTGTCATTTTCAACGTGTTGCCTTATTGTCATTCTTCAGAGTATTTCCAAAACACACAGTAATGAAGCATCTTAAAAATGGTAGGTTCGGATTTTTTTCATTACTGTTTCTCACATTTGTCTGCTAAATTTTTGTTTCGATTAGTGCTATACATTTATATATGTACGTAACTATTTTCGGTTCTTTTCATTGATATTAAAATTTAGTAGCTTTGTGACCTCGTCAGTGCTGTATATTTTACTTTGAACCTATCTGTTAGTCTGTTTACTGGTAATCATTCTCAACCTGGTGAAATCGGTCAGAAAATTGAAAAACTATTTTTTTTTACCTTGAGTTTTGATGTATGGATTCTGTGGACATTCGTTTTTCAACTTGCAGGTGGTGTTCAAGGGTTGGGCTAAACTTTTAATGAGGTTGTTTTGCTTTTGTGAGAATTGCCGTTTAGTTATGAAACATCTATTCAGTGCTCCATAATCTTCAGTGGTACCCTTCTAATATCCACCTATGAAAAATATCTTGATTATCCCCAAATAACAAGAATTCAATAATAAATCATAAATGTTCGTATCACCACTAGCCATTGAAATATATGATAAAAATTGTCCATTTTAAGGGCTTATTCGAAATGCAATCATATCATTATTTACTTATTTAAACATAAATATTGGTACAAGGGGGGCACCAGATATATATGAGCCGCACAAATCTCATTTGATTTGTGTGAGGGCTGTGATACAACCCAGCTTTTCGTCTCCTCAATTCCGTAAACAACAGTAATGCCACGAGAAGGCAACGAGTAGGACTTCCCTAACAGAGGCTATATATGCCTATCCATGTGAGATCATTTGGAGAGGGAGAGCTAACTCTCCCCACTCTCGGCCGTACTAGAACATTTGGGGGCATTTTTAAATAACCCCGTGATGTGTTTTTTATGTGATCTTCAAGCTACATTTGTATTTCCCTGGTAAATTTTAAAAATGTTTAATTTTCTGTCATCTGCTAGTAATTTTAATCAAATATTTTATAAATCGTCAGTATGAAAGGAAGGGATATGTTTGTTGACTATTCCTTATTATAAAGTCAAAATTATTGATAATATTGTTTAAGGTTGACTCTTTCATTATGGATGATAATTCTTATTAGTAGTATTTTCCATGACATAATAATCAAGAAGAAAAGTAATTGACATACACGATTCATTCTTTCTAACAACACTGATTTTTTTTGGTGATAATGATTTTAGGTGATCCAGAACCGTTTGTCGATCCAAATAGATACACGTTATTCGCTTTTCGTTTTTGTCCATTCTGTGAACGTGTTAAATTGACTTTAAGTTACCACAAAATTGAGTAAGTTTAAAGACTTATTTGCGTATTTTAACTGGTAAAAAGATGTTTAGTATTGAGAGAAACACTTTAATATAAGTTACTATGTTTGTATTAAATATATTTTACTATGTTCGGCTAGATTTGGTTTGAAAGATTCGAAAGATTATACATGTAAACTTAATAATATTCGAGAGTTTAATACTTCACAAGCACATTGGGTATCGACAGGTTAAGGAACCTGTCGGCTTCCAAAAACTACAGCGGAGACTTCAGAGGCGCTAAAGAAGCAGAAGAGTTTCTATACGATCAGAACATGATAGAGCTTTCTAAAATATCAACGTGGCATGGTACTATTGGACAGTAGCATAATATGTCTCTTTGATCATTGGCCGAATCATAATTTTGACCTAACAAATCCTAATATGTATAAATACCCGTGATTTTCCGTACATTTTGATTCTTACTAATTAAACACTTCTTCAGCTTTTCTTCTGTCATCTGATTTGCGATGGTTCAACGTTTGAGTGTCATAGACGTAAACTGTATTTTGCGTTATTCAAGTAGCGAATTTATCAGAATCTGTTAATATGTTAATAAGATTTTTTAAGCGTAAGACTTATATGTAGTCTTTTAAGACGACCGCCGACATTGTTTTGAATACTTGGGTAGTGCTGAGATCTTTAAAATGCTTGTTATTACTCTCTTATATCAATAATCTCCGATGATTAGTGTTTATTTCATTATTATCATGAAGCATTTTATTAACTATATGCTTTCTAAGTGAATGTGTAAGTATTTTAATGCCGTTCAACGTTTAACTTATATTGTATCATTGAAATAAGTTTGAAATTTTAAAGCCTATATCAATTTTCTGTAATAGTAGTAATAATCATTATAGTAATCAGTTTTCTAAAGTTAGTGGACACTGTAGTAAGTTCCCTCCTTTAAACTCTATGTGCTTTTCTTCAAGTGGTTCACAGTATTAGTAGAGATAAAGAGTTAAATAACTGAAAAAAATATATCTCTCTATGCAGACGTCAGTAAGGTCTCTGTGTAAAATAAATGTGCATACAAACAGTTAAAGTATTACTTAAAAATTAAATATTTCTGGAGAATTTGATCAAAATCCGTCAAAAAAGGTCTTCTTAATAATCACTATTTTAAATCTCCAAGTTTCGTACGTATCCTTGAAAAGGATGGCATGGGATTGGCACCCTGAATGGATGATTCCAAGGTCCCCAAATGCCCTGGTACGGCTGAAAGTGGGGAGAGTTCACTCTCCCTCTCCAAATGCTCTCATATGGCCACGCGTATATAGCATCTGCCACGGAAATCCTACTCACTGCCTTCTCGTGGCATTACTGTTGTTTACAAAATTGAGAGAACGAAAAACGAATGTCCGCCGTTTTAACCAGTTTGGTGGACACAGAAACTTCACCTAGGGGAGTTGGAAAACAATGATTCCAAACCAATGGTGCACATGGGCTCCAGTATCCTGAAGGAACGAATGGCGTATGAACCAACTGTTGATCACCGGCTACCATGGGACTGCATCTCCTTACGATGCTCCATTGCCTTGTGGACTAGACCTTTAGGTCAAAGGCTCTGGGTGTGGGCCCCTAAGAAAACCACCTGCTTCGGTTTGGGCACCTGGGCAGTATCACAGCCCTCACACAAATCGAATGAGATTTGTGAGGCGCATATGTATCTGATGCTTTTTTGTACCAATATTAATGTGTTTAAATAAATAAATAAATAAAATGATATTGTATGACCTTAATTTATAATGTTTTCGAATAGTTACGTAATTAGTTACTATGATTAATTATTGCATCTAAATGTTCACGTTTCATACACACCTTAACTACTAAATTGAATAAGAAATAAAAAATATTTCAGATTAAAGGATGAAACAACTTTCCAGTACTCTCTGGTTTTCAATGATAAGTTCAACAAAGATTAATCTGTGGCGAATTTCACCTACAAAAAATGTAATTCATTTTTTCAGTCAGAAATCAATGAATAAGTTGATGTTTTTTGACAGATACATAAAATAAGTCCTGTTCTCATAAGGTGCTGCCTAATTAGGAAAATGGAATTTTAAAAAATATTATTTTAAGTTACAGCAAATGTTACAACAGCCTCTGTATCAATAGGCCTCAACATACATAAAGGAAAAAGCAAGATTTTCAAATACAACACGGAGAACACCAACCCGATCGCACTTGATGGCGAAACTCTGGAAGAGGTGGAAACATTCACGTACCTAGGAAGCATCGTTGATAAACAAGGAGGATCGGATGCGGATGTTAAGGCGAGGATTGGTAAAGCAAGGGCAGCATTTCTACAATTGAAGAACATATGGAACTCAAAACAACTGTCAACCAATATCAAAGTGAGAATCTTCAATACGAACGTCAAGACTGTTAGTTATAATGTACGGAGCTGAAACGTGGAGAACTACTACATTCGTTGTCAAGAAGGTAGATGTATTTATTAACAGTTGTTTACGCAAAATACTCAACATTCACTGGCCGGATACTATCAGCAACAGCGTTTTATGGGAGAACACAAACCAGCTTCCATCTGAATAGGAAATTAGGAAAAGACGTTGGAAGGAAATCACCAATGTGCATTACAAGGCAATCCCTAGCTTGGAATCCGGAAGGGAAGCGGAAAAGATGAAGGACAAATAACACATTACGCCGAGAAATAGAGGTAGATATGAAAAGAATGAATAAAAAATGAAAAGAACTAGAAAGGATTGCCCAGGACAGAGTTGAATGGAGAATGCTGGTGAGCGGCCTATGCTCCTCCACGAGGGGTAACAGGTGTAAGTAAGGAAGTTACATATTATTTCGTTCTGTTGTTGTTGTTTTTACCAACTGTGGAATGATCAACTTTCGTTAATTTTCATGTTACTTGTATAGATCCTTCAATCCTGTCTATTATTATCTTCGAACTTATAATTTGACTGCAATATATATATATATATATATATATATATATATATATATTAATGGTTGAGATCATGAGTCGATTGAAGTTAGACCACCATGGAAAACCTGGAAGCACTGAACGGCCGTTTCGTCCTATTATAGGACTCCTCAGCAGTGTACATCCACAATCCGGCTCTTGAGATTCGAACCTAGGACCTATAGGTCTCATGCGCGAACGCTTAACCTCTAGACCATTGAGCCGACCGGCATCCAACGATGGTAATGTCCCACATAAAACGAAACGGCCGTCCAGTGCTTCCAGGTTTTCCATAGTGGTCTAGCTTCAATTGACTCATGAGTTGAATATTATGTAATCTTGGAGATTATAATACACTTACATGTTTCCCCTATTTTATTTTATTTGTTCATTATTTACTTAGTTATGATTTAATATTAGTCTCACTTAATGATAAACCAGATTGGTTAATAAAATATTCACTTATGGGTAAAGTTCCATTACTTATGAATCATGGTGATAAATTACTTGAATCTGATTTAATTATGCGATTTTTGGATGAATTAAATGGTGAAAAAACTTCATTAATGAATGTATGTGGTGTAGAGAGTTTTCAAAATGCTGCTGAATTATCTAAAAAGGTTTGTTATTTAATTGTATATGAATACAATTTATGTTTTATTACAATGACCAACAAGTCCCCATCGGCCACCCAAACGACTCTCTTCTGTACCTAGACACCTGACATAAGCATCCAAGTCTCCGTCTAGTACTGCAATATCTGTCATACTTTCTGTAGAAGAACAGTTAATCGGTTGTAAAACCCATCCTTGATCGCACCCGCGCTGCAATCTGTCAAAGCATAGGCGGAGATAACAAAAAGACATCGTTTCTCACACCGATTTCTCACTTTGATAGAAGTTTCTATTCTAATAGCACATAACCGACTTTTAATGGGAATCCAATCGATCAGTGCTGTCTCATCTCTAGCGCTTAATGCGACACCAATGTCAGGAGAACCAGACGAAGATGCTACAGGGTCCCAGGATAAATGAACTTAGAACAAACTTTTAGACGCTACAGATGAAGAGCAAATTTGTAATACTTCACTAAAGCCCTTATTACGGGTCTCATATAGACAAGAGACATTTATTAAATGACAGTAAACATAAATGCATTGTGTTAAATAGGTTGATTCATATTTTTGGGCTTATTCAGTTTCATTTCTTTGCCAAGTTGAAGACTATTGTTTGTTTACAAGGGTAAGCATAAACTCTACTCGTTCGCAAATATGACCTCGGACTTTGCAGCCAACCAAAATGAAACCTGCTTATTTACCTACGCCTGTTACCCTTCGTGGAGGAGTGTAGACTGTCTACCAGGATTCTCCATTGAACTGTGTCCTGGGAAATCCTTTGTAGTTGTTCCCAGTCGCTATTCATTCCTATACACAATTCAGAGCAGAATAAGTATAACACAATTAATCTAGCTTAATTGTGTTCACATTCCTATGCTACATGATAAGTATATTAGTTATAGATTATTATTCAAAAGGATTCCTGAAGACTTAAATCTAACCTGTTTGTGTGAAATGCCTTAGTATCTGTAAATAGGTTTAAATTCATTCACTTCACCCCATCGCACAAGCAAGTGGCTATCAGGACTCAGTGGCCGAGTGGATAACGCGATGGCGTTTGAAGCGAGGGTACTGGGTTCGAGTCCCAGAGTGAAAATCAACTCTGAGATGCAGGTACATCCAGCTGATGAGTCCCAAATAGGACGAAACGCGCGTCCTGGATTCCACTGCTAGCCACTATCCATCTCTGCTTACCATGTAAATAGGTTTGTTTATTATTAGAAATATTTCTTCAGCTTTAAACTATTCACTAATCGAAGTAAAATTCATACTTCATTCTTATTTAAATGATCCAACGTTGTTGATCATTTACAGAAAGACTAAAAAAGATGGACAATAAGTTGATTTGTTTGCGTAATGATGGTTTACGGGTGAGGAAGCTCTAAGAAGCTCAGATATTCCATCCAATGATCTTTTAGAAGAATATTCCGGAATCACTACGTGTAGCTTCACCTATTGGATAAATGCTAGTAACCCCTTGTGTACGGATTGGATAACTATAATGATGATTTTGTTTCTCCTAAAAAACTATAAATACCTGACATTCTGTCTACTTGTCTTCTATTTTCTCATTTGCGATTTGGGAAGGTTCTGGCGTTCGAGTGCTCAAGTTATCCGCGACATACTAAAAATCTACGTTCAATATATAACAGTTTGATTATAATATCTTGATGAATTCAGACATTATATTTTTCTGTCTTTACTTAAGATCACTTGTAATTGATCTCATCACTTTTACAAACTTACATAACTTTTCAGTCTTTTTGTAAATAAAAAAATCTCTCTTACATTCAAAGGTTCCACATAAAAAAAGTTGAACATAGAACATTGAAAGTAAATATAGTCATCTGCTTATATTTGAAGTGTATGTAATTTGAAGTATCTACTATGCAATTTATTACATCTGTACAATTGGTCGATCAGTGTGTGAATAGAGGCCAATATCATATATTTCAATGTTGAAATCATGAGTCAATTGAAGCTAGACCACCATCGAAAACCTGGAAGCACTGGACGGCCGTTTCATCCTATTGTGGCACTCCTCAGCAGTGCGCATCCACGAACCCACTCTCGCGGGATTCGAACCCAGGACCTACCAGTCTCGAGCCGAAGCCCTTAACCGATAGACCACTGAGCTCAGTGGAAGTTAGACATTAACACCGTTGGATGCCGGCCCAGTGGTCTATCGGTTAAGGGCTCTTGCGCGTGACTGGTAGGTCCTGGCTTCGAATCCCGCGAGGCGAGGTCGTGGATGCGCACTGCTGGGGAGTCCCATAATAGGACTAAACGGCCGTCAGACAGTGCTTCCAGGTTTTCGATGGTGGTCTAGCTTCAATTGACTCATGTTTTCAACTTTGAAAAATACTGAAATCTCCACAAATCCCCTTCTCAATATCATATATATCTTGTCTTTTAATATTGATCGAATCTATTCTATTAGTGCACACGATTTTGACTATTTTAGATTAGTAGTCACATTATAACTTGATCGATAGTATTCGATCGACACTAAAAGGACTCTACAAACATAAAATTGGTCACTATTTAATGATCAGCTACTTGTACATATCTTAGTTCTTCAAGGGGTCAATTGCGGTTCAAACAGCTCAGTGGTCACGTCTTATATTTTGAAGCTGGGTACCTTTTGAATCACAAACGAGTCAGTCAGTCACAACGTAGAACTTCGTATGTACGTACATCAGTTCGAGTTGGTATACCACATTAGCACTGAGATGCAGTTGTCGATTCAAATCCCATAGTTTTAGAAGTAGTAAGAGCATAAGCATTATGTGAAAGATTGGGGTTTGAAGATGTTATTGAAGGAGTATAATACAGTGAGATAAAAGCATCACAAATGAAGCAACAGTTCTTTTAAGATTGCAAGCTTTTCTTGCTGACGAGTGAAAGATTGCACGAAATTTAATTCCAGGGTTTTTTGTCGAATACTCCCGACCACTTATCAGTATGTAACATCAGTTACTCAATTATCTTTGTGTTACCGTTGTGTCTCAATCAGACTGTATTAACTTAATGATTTCAGCTTTCTATCCTGGCAATGATGGTTCGTTTTTCCCTGTTAAACTATTTCAGTTTTTCGGTCCTGGACATACTATATTATATGGAGTGACCTTTAGTGAATCAGATGTGGTGAAATTTCGTGAAGCTTGTTCTGAATTGGAAAATTCAATCAATAGTAAATATTTTGCCGGTTAGTTGTTTTTCCTTATTTATTTCTCTTTTCTTTTTGTTTCCGATATAATATTCACAGTAAGCAGTATCATTCAGGGATTTGAAGGCAGAAGGGGGAGATTAGGCAGAAGTATCTCTCATCTTTGTATGTGACTTCTCATCAGTGTCCATCCATGACTCCACTATCAAAGATCGAATTGTCCCGGGTATGATAAAGGTATCCACCGAAGACAATAGAAGATGGTCACACAATATTGCGGGTTTTTTAAAGTTAGACTTGTACGGCCGAAGATGGGGAGAGTCAGCTCTTTCTCTCACCAAATGCTCTCACATGGCCACACGTCTACAACCACTGTCAAGGAAGTCCTACTCACTGCCTTATCTCGGCGGGGTTGTTTTAACGAACTTAAGAGGACGAAAACCAAATATCTGTTGCTTTAATCAGGTTGGTGGATAAGGAGCATCAACCTAGGGAAGTTGGAAAACCATCATTCCAAACCATTGATACACATGAGCTTCAGGATCCTGGGGGAATGAATGGCATGTGAGCCTATTGTTGGTCACTGGTGACCATAGGACAGTATCTCCTAACGTTGCTTGACTGCCTTGCAGATTAGACCTTTAGGGGAACGGCTCAGGGTGTGGCTCCCTAAGAAAACCACCTGCTTCGGTTTTGGCACCCGTGTAGTGTCCCAGCCCTCACGAAAATCAAACAACTAAATGTGGCGCATATGTATTTAATGCCTCCTTGTACCAATGTTTATGTGTTCAAATAATACTAATAATAATACGAAATTCGTAAACTATGTAACCAAATTTGTCAACAAGAACGACATATACCTATGACACTGAAAGTGATGGTTACACTATGTTACAAGTTAACTGGAGTTGTATAATACAAGGATTCATTTCCTACTTAGTGGTTAGATAGTACACTGACTATTATATCCGTCGAGTTTGGTTTCGTGCATGCTTCGGAGGAGATAATGACTGTTCAGAAATTCCTGATTCTCTTGCTGATATTGATTTGTCGTGAAAGTTGTCTGTTGATTAAGATAAGTGTCCATTAAAGTCCAATGGAATGTGCAACGTTGTTTTATTGATTGAAACAATAAGTTTCCGTTTTTTGGTGTTGTCAGTTTGATTTTCACTTCATCGAAGTCGATTTCAGAAGTAGTGTATTATCCTGAACCTCCCCCCCCACACACAAAATGTTTGGCTAAATACGTAAACATGAACTTGGTAACCAGTTTTTTTGAAAATTGAAAACTATTTCCTAAAATTTTAATTCTAATCAATAATAGATGTTACAAAAATATGATTGTTATAAGCCATTTATAGTTTTTATTGTAATAAAATGTCTCATCTTATGTATCTGAAACGGTTTACTAGATCAATGGCTTTTCAATTTTAGTTTGTTTAACGTTAACATTCGTATTTATTCATTGAATACAATTAAAATCTAATAAAACTGGGCTCATACATAATCAAAAATCAATAACTTCATGACGATATAAAAGAGCCATAAGGAGTATCACCTAACAACTAATAAGTATAATCAGAAAGTAGTTTTTATGGAGATTTAGTATTTTCATAGTTGAAAGCGTGAGTCAATTGAAACTAGACCACCAGGGAGAACCTGGAAGCACCGGACGGCCGTTTCGTCTTATTGTGGGACTCCTCATCAGTGCACAGTGAAGTTCAAACCACATCTGTTGTGAGATATCAACTCACTGAAAACAATTGGTGAACGGTTGCTCAACTTCGTGGATTGGTTGAAGTTAGATATTAACACCATTGGATGCCGGCTCAGTGGTCTATTGGTTAAGGGCTCTTGCGCGTGACTGGTAGGTCCTGGCTTCGAATCTCGCGAGGTGAGGTAGTGGATGCGCACTGCTGAGGAGTCCCATAATAGGGCAAAACGGCCGTCAGAGAGTACTTCCAGGTTTTCGATGGTGGTCTAGCTTCAATTGACTCACGCTTTCAACTATGAAAAACTAATAAGTAGACAAGAATAGTCAGTAGGAATCTTAGTTCAATTAACAATATAACAAAAAAAATTCTTTCAGTTAATCAGTCCATTCAATTTCTCACGGTTTTTACGAACAATGCAAAGAAAACTTATAATAGGATTGTTTGTGGATTTTATTCTGAGCTATGTTTGATAGTGCCTCTAAGAGCTCATCCAGAGTGTCGAGATGGATCGACAGATTCCAGTCCTACATAGTTTTCTTTCATATTATAGTACTGTGTCATAAACTGAGTATCCTTTTGGTTCCTCTATATGTAGTCCTAACATCGGGATATAATGTAGGATATGAATGCCCCCGGAATGTGATTCGTAATGTTTGAATTAATTAAACTTAAATATCATATGAATATATCTCATCACAGTATTTTTACACAAATCAGCATGCAGACTGATATAAATTTCAGTGGTTGTTGAAAAATTGACTATATTCAACGAACTCTATTTTCCGATAAGAAATATATTGATCGCCCCTAAATGCCCTGATACGGTCGAGAGTGGGGAGAGTCCGTTCTCCCTCTCCAAATGCTCTCACATGGCCACGCGTATATAGCCTCTGTCAAGGAAGTCCTACTCACTGCCTTCTCGTGGCGAGGGTATTGTTTATGATATTGAGAGGACGAAATGAAAATATTCGGCGCATTAACGGGGTCGGTGGACGCGGATAGTCCACCTAGGGGAGTTGGAAAACCCTGATTCCAAACCAATGGTGCACATGGTCTCCAGTATCTTGAGGGAAAAAATGGCGTATGAATCAATCGTTGGTCATCGGCTACCATGGGACTGCATCTCCTTACGATGCTCCACTACCTTGTGGATTAGGCCTTTAGGTCGAAGGCTCCGGTTGTGGTCCCCTGAGAAAATCACCTGGTTCGGTTTGGGCAACTGGTAAGTATCACAGCCCTCACACAAATGTCATTTGATTTGTGAGGCGCATATGTATCTGGTGCTTCCTTATACCAATATTTATGTGTTTAAATAAATAAATACATAAAATATATTGATCAGCTCCAATATTTCATAATTTTTTTCATATTTTTTATCATTATCAAGGGAATCAATTGAGCTTGGCTGATTTAATCCTCTTCCCTATGATTGATTACTTTGAAGTAATATTGGGCATTATTCATAATATAAATTGTGATCAAGTTCATGAAATGAAAATAGATAATGAATTATATAATGAAGCTAAAATATGGCCAAATCTATTCAATTATTTAACTACAATGAGACAAGAATCTTTTGTGTCTGATATAAGAATATCAACTAATATTAAAGCAAAATTTGTTTCTTCTAAACGAGCTGGTTTATCAAATCCTGATATTCAGTAGGTGGAGATAATAATAATAATAATAATATAATGTTTTTGTTCAAAAAGAAAATTGTTTCTTGTTTGTTTGTTTTAATTTATTCTATACAATCGGTAACAGTATAGGATATTCGTAGGTTACTAATATTCGATCAATGGTGTCTTCGAGACATTGCTGGTACATCGTGGGACCATCGACTAAGTAATGCAGTTCTTAGGAGACGGGTACTAGGTAAGGATGGTAAATTGATTGATAAAGTAGTGAAACTTCATCAGTTGAGATGGTTTGGACATGTTTTACGTATGCCTAACCACCGATTGCCCCGACCTGCGATGTTTTATAGTGTAGAGATGTAGGTTGGAAGAAAGTTAGGTGCGGCCAAACCAAAACGTGGCACAAATCGATGAAGTGACTGACAATTAGACTGAGCCATGCTGGTAGGTGTAGACTACCTAGTTGGGATTCGCGAGACAATAACAACCGATAGTTAGAGACCTTGAATGATATGGCTCAAAATCGTTCGCAATGGTGAAGGTGCATCCACTCTTTGTGTTCTCCCCAATCTTAATATTTTGAATTCTTCATGTCCCTATCTTTTTCTCTTTCCAAATTTATTTCACTGGATTATACACTCCTCGAATAACATCTTCAAACCCTAATCTTTCGGATTACTGCTTATACTTTTACTACCTGAACCACTATGGGATTTGACTCGACAACTACATCTCTGTGTTAATGTGGTATGGCAACTCGAACTGATGTACGTACGTATGTGCGTACGAAGTTCTACGTTGTGACTGACTAACTGACTGATATAATCTATTTATTTTATGTACTAACAATACCTTTGTAACTTAGAACTAAATGATAAACTCATTTTACATTATATTCGGCTATTAAAAAAGTACATTTTGTTTATCATGAAGGTAATAAATACACCAATCAGAAATGAATAATACACGACATTTTAATTGGTTATCAATGAAAAATTGAGTAAATAAAGAGAAAAAAAGATTTTCATCTAGATTTTTGATCATTAGTGGTTACGTTATTGATCCAAATATTGTTGATCGATTATTTTTGGATTTTTAAGAATCATAGTTGGAATCATTAGTCAATTGAAGCTAGACCACCATGAAAAACCTGGAAGTACCGGACGGCCGTTTCGTCCTATTATGGGACTCATCAACAGTGCGTGTCTACGATTTTATTGTTTATTTAAGTATGGATTTTTACGAAAACGGCTTTTGATTCTATCTTGTGATGATGAACATTATATGACTAAAAAGGCTCCTTATCTATAGACTAATAATGGGATCTTATGTTTCCACTGACCAGGTCATACTATGAGTAGTTAAAATGTTCTTATAGAGTTGGGATTTATTATCAGAGGGGGTTTTGTGGATATTATAGTCATTTTAATAGTTGAGATCGTGAATCACTTAAAGCTAGGCCACCATGGAAAACCTGGAAGTACTGAACGGTCGTTTCGTCCAGTTGTGGGACTACTCAGCAGGCGGGATCGTAGATGCGCACTGCGGCCGTCCAGTACTGTATATAACCTGGTTAGGTAAGGTTTTCCAAGCTATGACCTATTTTGAGGACTTATTGAGGCAGATTTCAGATGCTTCACAATTTAATTTAGGTCATTGTTCAAGTGTGGAATCCGTCTTTTTGTTCTAGAGCTAAACCGAAATTTTATCTGAAATGAACGAAACTTTTGGATAATTGTCTGAAATAAATGGAGAACCGCGTCTTTCCTACATGAAAGATATTATAACTCCTGTAAACAAATGGTAATAGTGGGTGGTCTTATCACTATTCAAAATATAATTGGTCATAAGCATAAAGTTGTCAAGTAATGCACGATGTGTAAACTACATGGTCGTTAGAAAAATCACTATATTGAAACCATTTCAAAAAGCAATATATGCACACTCGCTCCTTTAGTTTGCGAGTCAGTACTCCTGCGATATTTGTACAGTGGATTTTTTCGTACTTGACTGCGTGCTTATTACGAACTACAAATATAATATGCCCACTTGTGCCTACCAGTCCCACTGCCTTACTTTGAACTGTTTTGGGAATTTTCAGTTATCAAATCAGTTTTTGTCAATTCTGATAATCATACTGGCGTCGTGATGGAGCCTGTGATTGAATAGTTGGATAGATATTCTAATTCTGAAACCGAAGTTTACATGGGAAAGTTTGAAATCTGGAGTTTCAACAAAATCAATGTTAAGGATGATGAAATTGTTTCATTTTTTCAAACTCATCGGATGTTTGTAGATATATCTATTTCAATCCCTTGTATAACTCTCAAATAACTACCATTAAATCATGTAAACTATACAAACTTTGAATGCCGTGAAAGATCGAAATTTCATGAAATGATTCTTTAGAATAACCAGAATGTTAAAGAGTTTATGCTCAAATTGAGGAAACGAGCAGTCAAGTGTAATCTGTGTGATCGACTTCATGTCCGACTGTGTGGAGAATTAATTGAAAAAACTGACACACCAAATATGGAAAAAGAGCTTATACAAATTTTTTAGTGTTAACTTAATTATGTTGAAGTTGTATGTATTAACTACGAGGCATCTCGTGGAACTGAATTCCAAGATATCATGAATTCTACTACATCGCTTAGTTGTCACAATCCGGTTCATTCTCAAGGTCATATGAATAGGCGTTTGATCAACAATATTTGATCTCACGAAAATATGGGAAACAACTGAAGAATTGCAAGGGAGAAAACAATGATAAGCCTGAGATCAATTAATGTGTGTCATATGGCCAAGTTCACCCACGTATCTCATATGAGTTTCGCCACAATATATACTTCAAGTATGGTTCTTAAGAACACAGTTCTCGGAGCTGAACATACGAGAACTCTAAAGACTTACATTCAACATTTAACACATACGAATGGCCAAAAATCATGAACACAGAAGACTTGATCGGTATGGCATTGCTCTATATGTAACTATGTAATCTGCTTCCCATATTAAATATATCGATCTCTACCCAGTCCAAATATATTTAACGGAAGTCTTTAGCATTAATCATTGACTGTCATGGTAGGGCGAATTGGTACGTAAAATAATGTGACTTCCACGTAAAATCTGATAGATTGGGTAGTCATATCATGGCAGTTTTACAGTTGCTGAATGAGGATATTTTTCTGGTACAACAGATTATTGTGTTAATACCGACCAGGGTCACTATTCAGAAGATTTCTCATTGGATGATCAATTTTGTTTCACTTTATCTTATTTACCGTGCTCGACCGATTTGATTTTCAAAAGGCATCTTGTGATGATGTGACTAATGATATAAAGATTGATGGTTCCTTAATTTTCTTCATTGGATTTAAAGTTCTTCTTTGATAGTCTCGAATTCTGAACTCCATTAAATAAACGATTTTATGCTAAGCTATGTAGCCTCTGACTTGGTGGTGCATTACTTTTGTTTCAAAGTCAAGATTTTCATTAGTATTATTTTTTGATGTGTCAACCAAAACGGCAGATATGACGTTTGTACCTGTGCTTAGTCCTTAAAATGAAACATTGTCCACAAATTGTTCTACTTCGATTGCGGCACCAAAAACATGATGCGATAAACGATTGACTATTTTAGGGAAAGGATAAAAGTTTGATTTCGCTCCTGAAGTATGCAAGAATGCGCATCTAAAATGCCCAAAATGTTAGAGTCTACTGGGATGAAATCACGTTTATATGGATCATTTTGGAATACTATCACCTAACTCAGAATGCTGAACTCCAAGTGCATTTTTCAAATGAACTATTTGGAAGACCGTAGAATCAGTAGCACTTAGTATAAATTGAATCAATCTCTGAAGCTACTCATATTTATCGCTTTACATCCATTAGGAAAATTGTTGAACTGTTTTGATTAGTTATAGTAGCTGTAAATGAACGGTTCCAACCGTTCACTGTGGAAAAAATAACTATGATTGTTCGCTTCAAAATTTGAAAAAATTCGAGGATAGAAAACCAGGTCCAATTAGGTATTGTATAACCCGGTGTAGTGGTAAATAAATCCTCAAAATCAATAGCTCCATCAGTGTTTGACATTGGATGCTGACCACATTAGTTTTAATGGACTCACATAGCTGAAGGCGCTCGGTCATGCATCCGCACCAAATCACGAGTGGGAACACCGTGTTCAACTTCTTCTGAGATAACTGGCCAGTTTATATCAGTCACTTTTCGATATATTGATAATTTATTGAATAAGTCTTCGAACCTCCTCGCTTCTGACTTTTGATTTCACTGAGTGGGCGTGATTCAAATAAAGAAGTTGTTATTGGTAAAGTGTTGTCAAACTACAATTCCTGTGGCATCCTAACCGGGTTTTTCAACTTAGTATACATTAAAGGCTTTGAAAATAAACTCCACACATGCATACAGAACTTATTTTTGCTATAGGTCGGTAGTTGAGCAAATACGTGCCTTATTTCCAGTAGGATAAGAACTGACTTGAGAAGCAGTAACACACTATCAGGAAAATAATTCATTATTATATTGGCGATTATAACAGTGGAAGCACCTGGTCAAATATTGCCATCAAATTCAGGGAAATTTTAGCGTACTCAGGCATAATAGTTGAATAATTGGAGCGACTGCATTTTGTACATCAGAATTAAAGTCTGATGGGAGTAGTTGTGACATCTTAAGTATATATACAGTAACAAATGCATCCAAAGCGTTAGCTTGACTTAAAATATATTGCACAATTTTATTTATTTGGGCACTATTGTAAATATCGAGGGGCTTTTGCGATAACCCTAATGTAGACTGGTGTAAAGGAAGGAATACAGTTAAACAGACAGTCATGGGTTATTTCAAGGCACTCTTAGGAAAACCAAAATTTCATCTAAGGTTTATTATCTTACTGATTTTATTCTCAAAATCAATTACCTTGTCTATCAGACTATTATATATAAATATACTTAGGATTAAGTAGAAAATGAAAAGATCTACAGACGTCTCTCTTCTATGAAGAAACTTGAATAGAACTAATCCTATATAATCAGATACTTCGTTCTTAGCATTTGTATAAAAATAATGCTACCGATGAGAGGTGGTTGTACAACGACCTCATGCCATTTGCACTAATCTAGCACAAAATTTTCCGCCGTAGAAATTGACATCCACATTACTGTTTCCGATCAATCGTTTGCTACTTTCCATCAAAATTCCTAGGCCAATGAATATGAGGCCTTAGACAAACTAGTATCTTACCCAATGGTAAGTTTTCTCCACTTAATTGCTTAGCCGTCAGTAGTGAGATTCATCGTCATCATACCTTACCTATGAGAAGGACATTGTCCCCCCCAGTTTAATTTCAGAACACATCTCAAAACCTTTTGATAGGGTCAGCGTTATCTGTCTTTTCAATAAGCTCTAACGATTGAGTATCAAACCACCTCTAATTGACTGGCTCACTTCATATATAAAAAACCGACATTTTAAGGTCATAGTAAATTTTACTTTCTCTCAGGGAATGGAATATCCTAGTGGGGTCCTCCAGGGCTCAATACTAGGACCTCTTCTCTTCTTGATCTTCCACAACAAGTTTCGTCTGACTTACTGCTTTTTGCTGGTGATATAAAACTTTGGAGAGAGATACGCAGCCAAGAGGATTTACTGGCACTTCAAGAGTATCTGACTCGACATCAAATTTGGGTAGACGACAACGGACTTACCTTCAACACTTCAAAGTGTAAATTAATCCATCTGCGACATGTTGCAGACTACAGTTACGACTTAGGAAACTGCTCTCTAGCGTATCTCAAGTCGAATAAGAATAAGGAGTGGTGGTACCTTACGACTTGAAGTCGTACGCGGACTGTGACAAAAACGCCTTACGAGCAAACATTGAACTGGTAACATTGAAGGGCATTTTTGGCCATTTTTATGGAAGAACCTTCCACATAATCCTCAACAGTTTTACTCGTGTCCATTTAGAGTAAGGTAACATAGTATTTCCTTTCTCACTCCAAAAACATAAGGACACTCTGCAGCTTATTAAACGGCAAGCAGCGAAATCGGTTCGGGGACTCAAGTTCAAGTTCAACAACTTAACCTTTACCCGTTGTAGTATAGGTGTCTTAGAGTTGACCTTCTTATGACTTACAGTATCCTTAACACTTCTGGTCATCCTCTTAAACACCTAAATTAGCTTAGTCAGAATATAAACCTAAGGCGTAACATTCAGAAACTGGAGAACCAACATAGCAGAACGGACTATAGCACAACTTATACTCCTTAAGAGTTGTAAAATGCTGGAATTCGCCGCCGACTGAACTAGTCCAAGGGACTTCGCAGGAGTCCTCTAAGAGGAAACTTAAACTATTCCTAAGGTCCAAGGATAGCATCTTAATATGATTAACAAATTGCTTTTTTTCCTATTATCGTTAATATACCTAGGTTCCTGCCTGGAAGAATTGTTGATCCACTGCTACTAAACACGGAAGCCCTTTAAGCGAAAGCTTCTTTTATTCCGTACACAACCATTCGAACAATTTAGTAATAGGTTACTGGAACTACGTTTAAAGTTTTTGATTTTCTGAAGTTACTGTATTTGAGAGATTGACCAGCCGCTTTGAGAATTGAGTATGTTTTGGATTCTTTTCGTTTAATAACAGAGGATTTACTGGAAGAAGTAATTCAATATACACTAGTTTTCCGAATCTAGATTGCATATCGTATTTCACAGCGGAATTTCAAACAGGTGGTGTTCGGAGCTTTAGAATTGTCTTGACTTCTAGTTGGTTTTATGTAGCTTATATTGCTTAGTCGGTCGTCAAATCATTGTAATTGTATCACAAAGTTTGTGCGCATCAGTTCTTTTTCTACATTTCACCTAAAAATATGCATCAACTAATGGTTCCTTCGTAAAGTATAGAAATGAACGTGTAGATTTTCCTTCAGTATTCACGTCTAACCTAAACCAATGCAAATGTATCAGATCCAGCATTGCGTAAAATTGCCTGTTGACTTTACTTGGAGGCAATTTAATATTATGGGGATGAATCCAGCCTAACATTCAGGTCCTTGTTCATTCGGGGATGAGTACCTCACCTTCGCCAAATTGTCGGCTAAATTACACTAGCTGTTTTGGGTAGTACAACTCAAAGTGTTCGCGATGTGATGTGAGCCTATCCTTGATCTTTCTGCGAAGTGTTAGGGTTTTTCAACTCCCTCAAGTGAATGCTCCGTGTCCATCAACCTGGATATTTCGTCCTCTAAATTTCTTAAACAACAGTAATGCCGCGATAAGGCAGTGAGTAGGAATTCCCTGGTAGTGGCTGACCGTTCCCAGTCTCCATCTTACCAGAGCATTCTGAGGGTCTCGTCTTAGTAAATCTTCATCTTGTTCATTATTTTTACAGCAATATCACTGTTATGAATTCTTTTTTTCATGTTCAGACTCTTCGGTTAAATCGTGTTGTCTTAAAGAATAATTTCGTCGGCATCACACTTGTAGGTGCGTGTTATGTTGTCCATCGTCCATAAACTCAAGGGTTCGTGGTACAAATTAAACCGACAACTTAGTAATTCGGTTTATGTGAATACTGTGGTGATAAAAAGTACTCCCTGGGATAAGACAGCATTCTCTAAAATCTAAGAAAAAGCAATCTGTAAAAGCATTGACTTGTAACTATATACCGTGAAAATTATTCGTAAACCGTAGGTGATTTTCAGAATCCTGTTACTTGATGATTGTTTAAAAGTAAAACTCTCGGCTGCGATTGCTGTCTACACTCAGCTTACTCTCTGTTGATGAGGCAAATTACTTTCGTAGACGGTCACTTAAGTACTCAAAAGCTTTTAAACCAACATACAGTCTAAACACTTGTTTCTTTTTATTGAGAATGGGAACTGAAACTTGCTTATACCAAAACGTAGATTTATTCCGTCTTAAGAAAATAGTATTCTGTTTACTGCATTTTAATTGGTAAATGTTGGAAAAAATCTCATTTGTTTAAGGTTGAGATTATTTAAATGTCTAAAATTCTCAGTGCTTTGAGCATGACGTCTTAATTCTCTTATTATCTAACATCTGTTACTTTGATATCAATGGAGGTGTAGTTGTCAGATCCTAAGTCTGTATCTTAAGATCTTGTGTTAATTTGAACCTTTCCAAATGTGCAGTGCAGATTTAGTAGAAACCTGTTTCCAAGTCTTCCCTTGTGTTAGGCTTTTTGTAGTATGGGCTTTTGACTGTTACCCATATAATGTTTATCTCTTCATAAAAAAATAAGTATTTTGCTCAGTTCACAATTTTATGCTGTGGCAGCGCAATTCGTAGAAACCTAGTGCAAACAAACTGGGGGATAAGCCCATTTAGTTGGGCTTTCTTACTCGCTTTTACACAACAGTATGGGTGACTGTTGTTTGTTTTCACGGTAACTGGATCCACTGTTTTAATGAGTACAATTGTAGAAATATTTCGTATACATATTTTCTTGAAAGTCATTTCGAGTGAAATAAGTACTACATTTTCACACAAACCTTCCTTTGTGTATTCATTGTATTAAAGGTCTGTCAGTGTTCATGTAATAGTACGAGGAGGAGGATTAGAATCTGTTAAATATTCACAACTCGGCAAAATCACAAACTTACATGCTAGATTATAAACCGCTTTGTTGAGGTTTTGCAAGATAATTAATTTACCTGGGGAGGAGTCAGGCTTGTTCGAGCTAGTATTTTAATTATTTTTCATCGCATTTACCAAGTAAATATTTGTGTACTTGACTTTAAACCACATTTTAGGTGTGAAGGCTAGTGATGTAACCAGGCCACACAAACCGCAGTAGATATAGTGGTAGAGTGACTCAGTTATTTAGTCAAACATTTGAGAATATGTGGAAAAAAACCAGTAACTTTTAGGTAAAACATACTCATTCAAACCTCATTGATGGATTGTGAAATATTTAACTAAGTGACAATTAATAAGTCGAATGGTGATATTTGTGGGAGGATTAGATTTTCAAGATTGATTTATAGAAAGTGTTACGGGGTAGGTTCTGTAACATCTACCACTAAATGTGAATAAATTTTAAAAAGCACGGTTTATGTTCCACTCTTAGATTTTATATCACTATATTCTCGCGTAAAAACTACAGTGTGTTGACTATCATAATTGGTCAAGTTTTATTTATTTAAACAACTACCTAGCATTTGAAATAAAATATTCTTTCTAACAGATTGTAAAAATGTTACGACTGGCGCTAGTGCAAATGTTTGTGGGTGCAGATAAACCTGCCAATATAAAACGTGCTTCTGAATTAATTAGTCGAGCTGTGTCTGAGCATTCACCTCATCTTGTATGCTTACCAGAATGCTTTACCTCCCCTATTGGTGCAAAATATTTTGGACCCTATGCGGAAGCTGTTCCAAACGGTCCATCATGCCAAATGCTATCAGATACTGCTAAGTGAGTTTAACTATGATTGCATTTTTCTATCATGAAGATCTCAGTCAAAATTTCTTCATTTCTGTTTTTTAGTTGGTTTTCAAAGCCATGTGCGTTCTTTCACTGTTGTGCTTACCATTTGGACTGCACAATTCTGTGAATTCATGGTATTTCTGTAAGATCTAAATTATTGCAGTACTTAGCGTTATATCCATAAAAAAACCATAAAATCGTAATTCATTTGCATGTGCTGTAAATGTGTAAGTTAATCATAAATCAGAATGTCGTCAAACATGTCTATAGGCTGGAGGCTACAAAACGTGATACCGTAAATTATACGAAGATACATTGACAGTTTACTGTTTGTCGTTAACGTTTATTAACAAATAGGTTTTGAGATAAATACTTGTTCAATCATTTACAGATTACATAAAATATGGCTTGTCGGTGGTTCTATTCCTGAACGTGGACCTGATGGCAAGTTGTATAACTGTTGTGCAACATACAATCCAGATGGTGAACTAGTTGGCTTATATCGTAAATTACACTTATTTGATATTGATATACCAGGTAATCCAAAGAAACTGTCAATTTTTTTTCTCAATGACAAAACATAATTGTTCTCTAGTAGTAGGTTTTCATTTTCTCTTCTAAGCTAAGAAACAGTTAATACAAATCTGTAATAAATTATAGATCTATTCTTTGGTAAAATCACTAAGATATAGGTAAACGTCATCAGATCAACTATGTAACAGTATAGTTTGTAATGAACTAATAATGATAGTCAATCAAAACTGCAGACTTTATCTTAACGGATTCAAGAAGCTCGTTTGGCTTTTGCCAACTTACATCACGTATGGCGAAGACGAGATGTCCGTCTATCAATTAAGGGACGAGTATACTGCGCAGCAGTTCGCTCGGTTTTACTTTACGGCTGTGAAACATGGCCATTAAGAGTAGAAGATACTCATAAGTTACTAGTATTTGACCACAGATGCCTTAGAAATATTGCTCGCATCTGCTGGGACCACCGGGTAAGTAATAGTGAGGTTAAACATAGGGTATTAGGAAATGATGGTAAATCAGTTGATGAGGTCATGAATCTTCATCGACTGAGATGATTGGGCCACGTGTTACGTATTGCTGAGCATTGATTACCATGACTAGTGTAGGGGATGGTTGAAAGAGAGTTAGGGGCGGTCAAACCAAAACGTGGCATCAATGCTTGAAGTCACTAACTTCTTATCTGAGCCATGTTGATAGATGTAGATTACTTGGTTGTGATCCGCGTGACTATCGTAACCAATGATTGGAGACTCTGTGTGACATGGCTCAGAATTGATCTTAATGGCGTAGGTGTATACACTCTTTATCTTCCCTTAAACCTTGAGATTAAAATTGCTTCATATCTGTCTTCCTTCCTGTACTATATCCTTATATACAATCTTTTCTTTATATATTACTACCATTTAAGTAACTAATTCTATGAATTTGGTGTTGATCTTGTTGTGCTAACGAGATATGGCAACTTGGACCGATGGATAAATGTGCCTGGTCCTACGTTGTAGCTGACTGACTGGCTGTGAATAATGGGAGCATTAATTAATAGACTGGGTATAACTCAGGAATGGAAAATCGTATAATAATAGTTTATAGGTCAAATAAAGTTTATAATAAGGGGGACATGAATATGAGTAGTTTAATTATTTAGCAATTATACGATAAAAAATATATGCATAATACTGGTCCATAAATGGATCCCAAAGTTACCATTCACTATTGTTATCGGGATATAACAAATAGCCTATAATCAAATTAGTTGGCACCGTCGGCGTTATTATCAGTAATCTCACGGTAACGTGTGGCTAATAATCTAGTACGCCCATTTACTTTTATTTTTTGATTAATTTCGCTGACTTTTTCCTCTTGCTCTGTGGCTCAGTAGGTTAGGTTGTTTGAATTTCAGCCAGGAGCCCGTAGGTTCGAACTTCCATTCATCTATTTCTTTTTAGGTAACAGCGTAATATCACTAGCCCCTGACACATGTACAATAGGGCTCAAAGTCAAATACACATCTATCAGAAGGGGTTTTGTGGAGATTTCAGTATTTATTCATAGTTGAAATCCTGAGTCAATTGAAGCTAGACCACCATGGAGAACCTGAAAGCACTGGACGGCCGTTTCATCCTATTGTGGCACTCCTCAGCAGTGCGCATCCACGATCCCGCACTCACGAGATTCGAACCCAGGGCCTACCAGTCTCGAGCCAGAGCCCTTAACCGATAGACCACTGAGCCGGCATCCGACGGTGTTAATGTCTAACTTCAACTGATCCACGAATTTTGAGCGACCATTCGCCAATTGTCTTCAGTGAGTTATTATCTCACAACAGGCGTGGTTGAACTGCACATGTCACTGCTTCCCACTAGAACTCCAGGACATGTATCTTGAAGTCAGTCACTAGTGAGTATATGATTATAATCTGAAGGGGTTTTGTGGAGATTTCAATGCTTCCAGGTTTTCCATGGTGGTCTAGCTTCAATTGACTCATGATTTCAACTTTGAAAAAACATATCTATATTTGGCAAATGAATTCATACTTTATTTATCCTCATTGCTTCTCTTTTTTTAAAAAAAAGGTCAATTTGCATTTAAAGAATCCGCTTCACTTAGTTCTGGCAAAGAAACATTCTCTTTTGAAATACCTTTAAAAAATTCTGAAAATAAAATTTCAGTAATACGTGTTGGAATTGGTATATGTTATGATATACGTTTTCCAGAATTATCACTTCTATATGCTAATCAATTAGGATGTCAATTACTTTTATTCCCTGCTGCATTCAATCCTAAAACTGGTAAGTCTATTATATTTATCTATTTACTTTTCTCCTTTGTTTTTATGGATATTCCGTAGTGCCCCCAAACGCCCTGGTACGGCTGAGAGTGGGGAGAGCCCACTCTCCCTCTCGAAATGCTCTCACATGGCCAGCGAATATATAGCCTCTGCCAGGGAAGTCCTACTCACTGCCTTCTCGTGGCGGGGGTGTTGTTTACGAAAGTGAGAGGACGAAGAGCAAATGTCCGGCGCTTCAACCGGGTTGGTGGACACGTAGGGTCCACCTAGGGGAGTTGGAAAACCCTGATTCCAAACCAATGGTGCACATGGGTTCCAGTATCCTGATGGAACGAATGGCGAATGAACCTGCTGCTGGTCACCGGCTACCATGTGACTGCATCTCCTCACTATGCTCCACTGCCTTGTGGATCAGACCTTTAGGTCAAAGGCTCCGAGTGTGGGCCTCTAAGAAAACCACCTGCTTCGGTTTGGGCACCTGGGCAGTATCACAGCCCACACAAAAATAAATGAGTGTCGCGCACATGTATCTAATGCCCTTTTGTACCAATATATATGTGTTTTAAAAAAAATATTCCGTAGTAAAATGGTACCTTCTGAACTCAAAAAATGCTGATCGGCCGCCTATGCTCCATTGAGAGTAACAGGCGTAAGTAAGTAAGTGGATCTCAATCCAAGTACCGCCCGTATCAAACATCATCGCTATATGTATTTAGCTTCTGAGCTCACATAGTCATTTGCTTGTCCAACAGTTATCAGGTTAATTTAATTTGAAATGGTCTAAAATATCCTGTTGTTGATACTTTTCGACGGAAATTTGATCAATCTTGTTTGGTATATATGCATTCTGTGTAGATTGTACTAGTTGATATAACAACTACATCAAAGCAATTCACTTACTTACTTGCTTGCTTGCTTGCTTGCTTGCTTACTTACTTACTTACTTACTTACTTACTTACTTACTTACTTACTTACTTACTTACTTACTTACTTACTTACTTACTTACTTACTTACTTACTTACTTACTTACTTACTTACTTACTTACTTACTTACTTACTTACTTACTTACTTACTTACTTACTTACTTACTTACTTACTTACTTACTTACTTACTTACTTACTTACTTACTTACTTACTTACTTACTTACTTACTTACTTACTTACTTACTTACTTACTTACTTACTTACTTACTTACTTACTTACTTACTTACTTACTTACTTACTTACTTACTTACTTACTTACTTACTTACTTACTTACTTACTTACTTACTTACTTACTTACTTACTTACTTACTTACTTACTTACTTACTTACTTACTTACTTACTTACTTACTTACTTACTTACTTACTTACTTACTTACTTACTTACTTACTTACTTACTTACTTACTTACTTACTTACTTACTTACTTACTTACTTACTTACTTACTTACTTACTTACTTACTTACTTACTTACTTACTTACTTACTTACTTACTTACTTACTTACTTACTTACTTACTTACTTACTTACTTACTTACTTACTTACTTACTTACTTACTTACTTACTTACTTACTTACTTACTTACTTACTTACTTACTTACTTACTTACTTACTTACTTACTTACTTACTTACGCCTGTTACTCCCAATAGAGCATAGGCTGCCGACCAACTATCTCCAACCCACTCTGTCCTGATTATAATCAGACAGTTTAGTTATTTAAAATTATATACGAAAGAAAACAGTAATTCTGTCCCATTTTTGTCATCTAGTTAATACACTTGATTATCTTTGTCATAAAGTAAAAAACAACAACTATTGTTGAATAGAATAGATTCATTTTATTTTGTGTATTATAAATTTTACTAATTGCTATATTAATATAAGTATAATCTCTAAAATTCAATGGTGGATAATGTTCAACCAAAGGACACAATGACAAACGAAAACTAACTGAACATCATCTACAAAATAAATTGTCTCAACTGCATGAAACTTTACTTCGGATAAAGTATTCGCCAGAGAAGTCCTACTCACTGCCTTCTCGCGGCATTTCTGTTGTTTACGAAGTTGAGAGGACGAAAAACGAATGTCCAGCGCTTTAACCGGGTCGGTGGACACGGCGAGTCCATCTAGAAGGGTTGGAAAACCCTGATTCCAAACCGATGGTGCACATGGGCTCCAGTATTCTGAGGGAACAAGTGGCGTATGAATTAATTGTTGGTCACTGGCTACCATGGGACTGCATCTCCTTACGATGCTCCACTGGCTTCTGGATCAGATCTTTAGGTCAAAGGCTCGGGGTGTGTCCCCCTAAGAAAACCACCTGCTTCAGTTTGGGCATATTATATAGAAATATGCTGTTGTTTAACGTCTATCAGAATATAAAACTTAGGTATACGAATGACTTCTTACTGATTAACTCTAACCATTTTCCCATTGAACAAGTGTGAATGGAGTTGTCAATACACTGAATTATGACCGTATCCTACTTGATCGACAAAATCCGATCATCACTAAGAAATAGATAGTACGATATTTGTTGCTGTTCTGAATTGAGGAACTTAGGGAATAGTTTAACCAATAGAAATACGTCACTATTTTAGTCGAATACAGTGGTCTTGAGTGCTGTTAGAAGTATGAGGACAGTTATCACTTCCCCGTTGCCGACACCGTGGAAGGCGTCATTATTCTAACATGATTAATAACAAATGAACTAACTATGCTGTAGATAATATCATCTTAGTCTGATTACCCAGTTTTCTGGATAGTTTATAAACATTTTTTGACATCTCGATATTATATATTGTACCAATTTTCTGGATCATGGATGCGCACTGTTGAGGAGTCCCATACTAGGGCGAAACACCCATCCAGTGCTTCCAGGTTTTCAATGATGGTCTAACATTGATCCATTCATGATATCAATCTAAACTGAACAATCTCCACAACTGTATACTGATAATTTTCATCTGTTGGGATCACCGGGTAAGTAATAGTGAGGTTAGACACAGGGTATTAGGTAATGATGGTAAATCAGTTGATGAGGTCATGAATCTTCATCGACTGAGATGATTGGGCCACGTGTTACGTATTGCTGAGCATTGATTATCATGACGCGAAATGCTGACTAGTGTAGGGGATGGTTGAAAGAGAGTTAGGGGCGGTCAAACCAAAACGTGGCATCAGTGCTTGAAGTCACTAACTTTTGGTCTGAGCCATGTTGATAGGTGCAGACTACTTGTTTGAGGTCCGCATGACTATCATAACCAATGGTTGGAGACTGTGTGACATGGCTGAGAATCGATCACAATGGCGTACGTGTATACACTCTTTATCTTCCCTTAAACCTTGAGATTAAAATTGCTTCACATCTGTCTTTCTTTCTATACTATATCCTAATATACAACCTATCTTTTATGTATTACTACCAATAAATTAACTACTTCTGTGAATTCTGTGTTCATCTTTTTGTGCTAACAAGAAATAGTAACTTGGACCGATGCATAAATGTGCATGGTCTTACATTGTAGCTGACTGACTTAGGGAATATTCATTATTTTATTCACAGTAAGTGTCAAATTGTCTTGGGATGGCTTTTGAGCACATTTTTTTTGTCTCGTAATTGTGTATATATTTTCCACTTCAATTATTAGAAAGTATCCTTTATTCTATATGTGATATCTCCTTTTTTCCGAATCTCCCCCTCCTCGAAAAAAACTAGGATCTTTACATTGGGAGTTATTGGGTAGAGCACGTGCTTTAGATACACAATGTTATGTTGGAATGTGTAGTCCAGCCTGTAATCTAGAATTAGACTATATAAGTCATGCTGAATCATTGATCACTTCACCATGGGGTATAGTTATAGCTAAAGGTGGTAAAGAGGTAAGTATTTGATGAGTATTACTGATAATCATTCATTGTATTTCATAATTCGTTCAAATTTAAAAGCTTTTGTGATTAATTTTATGAAAGTAAACTACTGATGGATTTTTGTAACCTAGTGATGGCAACAAGTTCTAAAGAGTCAGCCACACATAAGTAACATAGAACCTGTGCATCGATTCACGTTGTCACACCATACTGTATTATCCCAGAAAGATGGATGAGATAATCTGGAAAAATGTCATATTAATTGAAAATATTCAGTATAGACATTATGATTCTGGAGTAAAAAGAGTATAAGATAGTTTTAAACCTCAAAATCCTAGATGGAAGACAATGATTGCATGCGTTTGTGTGATTGTGATCGATTCTAAGCCATATTATCTGATGTTTGTAACTACTGGTCGCAATTATCGTGTGGAACTCAACTACGTGATTTAAATCGATCAACAGGATTTTAGTTTGCGCTTTCCTGGTCTTCTTACAACCTGATCATACACAGGTAAATATCGCAAGTCATAGTAGGCGGTGGTTGGAAAAGGAAACAGTCATTATCATACTATGAAATTATACACTCTAGCGTTTTCTTGTATTGACTGTCAGGCAGAAAAAACCGGATGATTACTCTTGGAAGTCTAGAGATTGCCTCAACCGAATTAGTTTATCTTGAGGACAATAGGCAATTCAATTATTTGGAACCCTATTCCCCTGACGAGTTCAACTTAAAATTAAGATAATGTAGTAAGAAGGTACAGATATATTAGCTTCGTACATTTTGAATGGTCTGATCACTCGTATGCTTGTCAAGAATAGTTATATATGGAAAGTAAAAGGAAACAATGACAATTAAAGAAAAGAATACTTAAAAAAACGAAAAACTCATCACGCTGTATACTAAATCGATATTACCAGGGTAGGTCTTTAATATTGAAAACAGAGTGTTTCTGTATACATAAAGGTGGGGGGTTGAATTTTAATATGGCCAAGGCCTCAATAAACTCTAGACAACTTTTATACAAAACTACATAGCCTCAGTTAAGATCAGTCTGATGACCTGTTTCTACTATATGTTTAATTTTATTTCTTTCAGTAACCACTTTGATACATGTTCAGGGACCTAACTTGCAAGTCACGGTTGCTCTTCATGTATATATGGTCGTAAACATGTAAATTGTTGAACATCCTGGTTTGTGACGCGATCGTTTATATGCCATTTAGGTTTCCAGTAAAATGTTGACTTTGTTTTTCCAATGATAATAACCCTTGTTGCACAGTATATTTTATTAACAGCTGACTTGAGCCTATTTCACTCACTTTCGAATGGTAGGGTGACATAGACAAGCTTTTGTATGTTACGTTTTCATAATTTACTTTGAATAAAGTTTAATTGTTATTGCTCAGTAATCTCACATCATGTCCTTCGTTTTTATACTGCCTTTCATTGCACAGTCTCCTTATCGGTTCACTTGATATCAGAGGAACTGTATATCATCGTTTAATCGACCTGGTAAAACTCTCAGTCAATAATTTGTTTTTTATCTCCAATAATTTCGGTCTGAGAGTAGAGAGTAAAAAAGATTCCGTAAAGTGGTTGATACTCTGTAAGTATTCACAATTTGCTGTCACTGTATGTTACCAGATCAACTGAATCCCACTAGTTTACTTGATCGGCACAATATACTGTAAATTAACTTAAGACTTCACTAAAGATGATGCTGTTTTGCCTAAGAAAACTTACACATTGTGTTGTTTGGCATCTAACTCTTGTTCATTTTATTCACAAGTGTATTTGTTCCGTAGTTCATGGCATTTTTGGCATCATAGATCACTACTTGTAACTGGGATTGGACAGTTGAAATGTGTCGTTAATTTGTCAGCACTTTTTGTTCAATTACAAAAAGAACTTACTCAGCATCACTGTATATTACTTAAGTGACGTAGATGTGTTTTCGAATGATCTATTTATATTGTTTGTTTCTAAAGTACCCTGTAATTATGTTACTTTTGTCGTCATTGAATTTGTAGGAGGAAATAATAACAGCCGATCTAGACTTTTCCGAATTGAAATGTGTTCGTGAAAGTATTCCAATCGGTCGACAACGACGTCTAGATATTTATACTACACCAAAATTAGTTAAAAAACAATCGTGAAACTATTTCTCTCTTTTCTATTAATTACATTCTTTGTGATATATTTTTTGACTGTTGATCATTACACACTTTATAAACTTGATTGAATTCTGTATTACGTATTACTTTTGTCTGTATTGACAAAGACTATTCACGAGTGATATTTTCAGTTCAAAATTCTTCAGTTGTTTGTCCTGTTCTGTTTAATTCACTGATCAGTCATGATAACCTGAATATATACTCGGTTATGAGTCACTAAGTCTCTTAGAATTTGAACTTAAGGCTGCTGATAAAAGTCTGTAAGATCAAGGACAGTCTATGATTGTTGTAAGTGTAATCTGAATCTAAAAGTGATGACTGTTTCCAGTGAGTTTGGTTGTAATCCCGTTGTTACGTGGATATTTGATGCTAACAAACAGTCAGATAGATGGTGTTTTAAGTAGGCACCCTATTACTTGTTTTTGAGTGAAGATAATAATTATGGTACATAACGAAAGACAGTATAAAATAAGATGTATTTTGACAAGAAAGGTCTGTACGACTGGAGTGCGATTGATCGGATTTAGTGTTACTTGAAGCAATGGGGGTTCATATCTTAGTACGGGAAGTGGTTATAATCTAGATCTTAAATACTTCTACTCACTCAGAATATGCCTATTCTACTTCCTGGCCTATACACTTGAATTGAAGCCTGTTACTAGAAAACAGAATTTGGTAATAAGATTCTGACCTCCATAGCAAGTTAAAGACTGAAGTAGTGAAGGTTTAGTATATTTTATATCGCGATCAACTGCATGTTACTGTAGTACCATGGGTTTTTTGCTTGTAAGTGACAAAAAATAAATGTATTCAGTTGAATATAGTATTTGCGGTAAGAATGATGAAATCGCTTTGATCACTTAATCCGTCAGTGGTCAATAAAGATAATTGAAAATACAGAAAGAATAAGTGGGAGTGTAAGGAACCACGATATGAAAGGTCGGAAATAAAGGGGAAGCTGTCCGATTTCACTATGGTGAAAGAAGTGTGGCAGTCTCATTATGTTTGGATAGACTGGTAAGTGATATCCCTGTAAGAATATATTTTTTTTCAAATTGTGTCTAAAAAATTTTCACGCGTATTTTGTTGAGAATATGAGCAATAAGTTTTTAAGAGATGTACGATTTATTATATTTAGACAGACGAGTTTTATTTCCATACCATGACGGTTTTGTTGAACTGCTCGTGCTATTGCCCTTTATCTTTAATTTTCAGTGTTCAGCGAGTAAATGGTACATTACATTATTTGAATATATAAATGATTAATAGAAATTTAAATGTAATTAGGTATTTTCTGTTAAGTAAGTAAGAAACAATGTCTTACATGACATTCTAACTTTAAGTAACCCATTTTGTCAGAGTTAAATGTTACGTCCTCTACCTGATCACGGCAGAAAACAGCATACAATTCTCAGAACTCGAACGTGAAGACCTCAACAGTCGCGAGTAAAGAGATCGAGGAAGCGATTATTGGGTAGGAGTCGAAAATGTACAGAAAAACGGGTATTTAGAGTTCTTAGTACTGGCTATTATATCATTACAATCCGCATTCAGGAAGGTATTATAGTTGTCTAATAGTAGCATACAACGTTGATATCCCTGAAGCCATCTTCACGTTCTCGTCAGACAGAATCTCTACACCTTACTTAAAGCCTTTGGAGGCATGGTGCTTTTGAAGCCGTCTCAACATTAACCAAAGTATAATACTAGACCTTAGCCTATGCAAATAACTCATGAATGTAGGTTTAACAAACAATCTTTAGACCAGGAATTGTTCTATCTTAGGAAGACTAGAAATATGACCAATGTCAATTGTGGAAGTAAGTAGGCTTCAACTTTGTTAGGATTGTTTTTATACTAATAACAGGTTAACAACTATTTATTGACGAGTTTCATTGCTACAAGGCGTCTCGCTGTATAAATTATCCTAAAGCAAGTTGTATTCCGAGGACATGCAAAAGTACACCAATCTCTCTAGTCCTCAGAAAGTTTCTTCCAACATTTACAAAAACTAACAATCGCTGACTTGTAGAGGTAGATAAATTTCTAAATAAGAAGTTCCATAAGTCACCCACAATGATTCTGACCCCATTAGATTTACTGAACACGCCCATCTGAGGGTGCTCAGTCACGCATTTACAACAGATCACGAATGGGCAAGCTGTGTTACGCATCACTTGTAACTGTTAACCAGCTTAGATCAGATACTTTCTAATATATCGATAGCATTTCAAATATAACGTCGAACCACTGAATCTCGGTTTGACTGTGCTCGGATACTTCGGTTGTAGAGATGTTATATGTGAAGGCGTTGTCAAACTCCACATACCTTTGACATCTTTAGTCTCAGCATTAAACAGATCAAAATTGGGCTCTGATGTCTAGTTTATCACAGTCATCATATAGATTGAAACTATAGAGGACTAAGTTGTCCAAACGTTTGTAAATGTCCACGCTTTTTGAGACGAATCAAATGCATCGTTTTACCGGTTTGCAATTTCAGATTTGAAGGCTAGTCTGTTGTCGTCTGTCAGACCTCCATGAATTTCGAACTAGTTATTTCGCACCAAGACTTTTCATCATCACCATAATAGCGAATTCCTAGAAACAGCCGCTATGAAAATCTGTTCACATAAGTTTGAAAGCTAACCTTTAAGAAGACATATGTACTTTCTGGACTCGGATAGAACGAACAACTATAATAAGTAGTAACTGGATTGAATGCAATAAAAAGACCAGTAATAATCATACTTGTCCAATGAGCAGGGATTAACCAGAATGCGAGTTAGAGACAACATAATTGTAGCTGTAAATAATTCCCCAAAATCAATAGCTCATTAAGTGTTCGACATTGGATGCTGACCACGTTGTTTAAGTGGACTTGTTTAGCTGAAGGCTTTCGGTCATGCATCCGCACCAGATCACGTTTCGACTCGGCGTGGGACACAGCTCCTACGTTTCATTAGCCAGCTCATAGAAAAGGTCCTCGATATATTGGTAACGAATCAAATATATCTTTCCTGCCTCCTCTCGTCTGACTTCTGATTTCTATCTGACTGGGAACGATCGAACATAGAAGGTGCTACTGGTATCCAGTTGTGAAATTAGAATATCCGTTGCATCATCATAATGATAGATTATGAAAGTAATATGTGGTAATTCAGATGAAGTGTACAATAAAACACAAATAATCACTGTTTAGCATCGACAGTGAAATAGCATACCATGTTTCATACCTTAATGTGACTCAGGCCATTTGACCGCTTAAAACTGAGTGTTCATATTGTGAAAATTGTAAGGAAACCAAGCATGATTGGTCCAATTGAAATATTTCGAAATATTACGACAGCACAAATTTTCTGATTTGAAACGTTGAAGAAAATATCAACCGTACCCCGGAGGTTGGCGACCCCGAAGTATGCTTCTCTAAATTATGTCGTTTAAATTAAAAGAAACTTCCCAATGAGAGATAGTTGCACGAGATATCTGGTATTAAGGATGTTTTATAGTAATTTTTCCTCTATATACGTACATTACGATAATAAGTTAATAAGACTAGTCACGTCTTATTAGAACTAGGATTGGTAACATGAAATAAAGAACCAAATTAAAGCTAAAGATTACTTCAATAAATACCGTTACAAGCAGCCACACACAGTGGGTCCAGAGTGGAAATCAATGATAATACGGAAAATTACATACTAATTAGCCCAATAAAACTAGTGAGGTCAGAACGGGACTTCTTACTCGGGATTTTTTAACCGTTACATTAAAATTTTCAAGAAATGTTCGTACATTTTATTCGTAACATGTCATGAAAAAAATTTCTTCGCTTGGATTCGTGTACATATACTAGACGAGAAAATCGGTTTTTTGGATCTAAGTTATAATCCTTATCATCTAGTATAAAACATTCTGTGGCAACCATAAGAAAGGCAAGAACATAAAGTCTTTTATTTATCATTTTACAGTTCACAGTGTTAGTCGCATTCAGAATTTTAGGAAATAACACTCGTAAACCAGTAGTGTTAAATGATAATTCGGTTCATAGTGATGATGCAACGGATATTCTAGTTTTACAACTGGATACCAGTAGCACCTTCTATGTTCGGTCGTTCCCAGTCAGATAGAAATCAGAAGTCAGACGAGAGGAGGCAGGAAAGATATATTTGATTCGTTACCAATATATCGAGGACCTTTTCTATGAGCTGGCTAATGAAACGTAGGAGCTGTGTCCCACGCCGAGTCGAAACGTGATCTGGTGCGGATGCATGACCGAAAGCCTTCAGCTAAACAAGTCCACTTAAACAACGTGGTCAGCATCCAATGTCGAACACTTAATGAGCTATTGATTTTGGGGAATTATTTACAGCTACAGATCACTCCCCCCCCCTAGTGAGGTAGTGATGCCCCTAAGACGTGACCAGCCAGAAGTTTAAACCCAACGAGTTTGTCGTTGGTAAACACTCTTCTGATAGCTTGCTTCGTTTAGCAGCGTCTGGTCGTCTTTCCTTAAACTATGGGACCAAAATGTACAACGTAGCAATAAAGAAATATAGTACAATGAAAATTTATGTTCCTTGCGAAACTTCGTCGTTCTTTTCCAGCCGTCCTGGAAAAGAGGAAAAATAAAACGTGTGAGTGCATGTCAAAAATACACTCGTACTTGCGTAAGGACACAAGATGAGCGGAAAAAAATAAACTGATACACTTACAAACAGCGTAAAAGCGATCGGAAAAAAGGTTTTCTTTTGTTTGTTTTTTCAATATATAAATATGTTGTTTTTTTTGTTTTGTTTTTTTACATAAATAAAAAATTATCATATTAAAAATTCTTTTTTTATAATGAACTATGGAAGGGTAATTCAAGATAAAGCTTATGTCCTACGTGCAATATTCGTTAAGATGTTCTGGAAATCTGACTCGTCTTCCAGAACGCGTTGTTTTAGGTTTTTCTATCGACGTTGACGAAGTATCAAGTTGTGTGTCGGTTGTCGTGTGGGGTATTACGAGTGTAGTAGCTGTGTCGTTTGCTTGTACCGAAGGAAAATCGACGTAGCTAAGGTTTCCTTCTAAGTACGCAGCTTTGAGTCGATCGATACTGATGCTATCTTTCGTACCGTTCTTATCAACTACATAGTACTTAGGTTCGCGTTGAAGAACTTTGAAGGGTCCTTCGTATGCTGATTCGAGGGGTCGTCGATGTGAGTCTCGACGAACGAAGACGTGTGTACTATGTCGTAATTCGGGTTGAACGAAAACATCAGTTGATTGAGGTCGAGTGTGAGCAGGTTTAACTGAACGCATAGCGTTTGTAAGCCTACTCGTGTAAGAGTTTAGATCCATGTTCAATGAAGAAGCTGAAGGATCCACGAATTCTCCTGGGAGTCGGAGTGTCGTTCCGTAAACGAGTTGAGATGCCGTGTATCCAATGTCAGCTTTCACTGCATTGCGGATACCTAGCAAGACGAGTGGAAGAGCGTCTGTCCACTGTGAAACATTTGAAGCTGATAATGAAGCTTTTAATTGTCGATGAAAACGTTCTACCAACCCGTTTGCTTGTGGGTGGTAGGCGGTCGTTCGGAAGCGCGTGATTCCTAATAGTGAGGTCAGACAACAGAAAAGTCCAGATTCGAACTGGCGTCCGCGGTCTGTAGTGATTGTGGAAGGGCAGCCGAAATTTGTTACCCATCGTTCGACGAAAGTGCGAGCCACTGTTTCAGCAGTAATGTCCTTAATCGGTAGTGCTTCTGGCCATCGAGTAAAACGGTCTACGCATGTTAGGAGATATGAGTATCCGTTCGAGTCGGATAAGGGTCCTACCAAATCTAGATGGACGTGGTCGAAACGAGCGTCAGGGGTTTTGAAAGAGCCTAAGGGACATTTGTTGTGTCTGATCACCTTAGATTTCTGACAGCTTACACAGGAGCGTGCCCACTCCCTCACGTCTTTATTCATACCAGGCCAACAAAAGCGTTCGGCTATAAGTTCGATTGTTGCACGAGCACCTGGATGAGAAAGATTGTGCAACGTATTGAAGACGTTGCGGCGATAATGTTTTGGTACAATTGGACGATCCCTACCTGTAGATGTGTCACAGAGTAAGGTTTCCTTACCTGTTCCCATCTGCCTAATACTTAGTTTAAGAGTTGTCGAGGATAACTCATGCTGAAGATCAATGTCTTCTTTTTGAAGCTGAGCGAGTTTAAGAAGGTCGATTCCTTGGAAACTGTTCAAGGAGCTAATTCGAGACAAGGCGTCTGCGACTACATTGTTTGCTCCAGAAATATGTTGTATGTCTGAAGTAAACTGCGAAATGTAGTCGAGACTCTCGCGGTGAGTACTTGTCTGAAGATGAATTTAAAGAGAAGGTAAGAGGTTTGTGATCGGTAAAAAGCGTGAATTCTCTTCCTTCGATGGAATGTTGAAAATGCCGTACAGCACAATACATAGCTAGGAGTTCCCTACCGAACGTGCTGTACCTAGATTCCGCGTCTAGCAACCGTCTCGAGAAAAATCCTAAAGGTTGCCACGAGTTGTTAACCCATTGTTGTAAGACTCCTCCGATTGCTGAGTCGGATGCGTCTACGGCGATACTAATGGGCGCTTGAGTGTCCTGATGAACAAGCAAGGTTGCTTTAGCGATGTGTTCCTTAACTGTGGAAAATGCTTTACGGGCTATGTCGTCTAAACTAATTGATTTCGCATTTCCACGAAGCTGATCGGTTAACGGTTTCATTAGGGATGCGCATTTAGGTATGAACCGTCTATAGAAACTTACGAGTCCGTTAAAAGTTCGTAACTGCTTGAACGTGGTCGGCTCTGGGTAATCCAGAATGGCCGCCACTTTGCTCCTAAAGGGTCGGATGCCTTGGGCATCAATGGTGTGTCCTAGGAAGTCTAAGGAGTTTGTTCCGATTTGGCATTTCTGTATGTTGACAGTAATGCCAGTAATGGAGTCGATCGAAAACAATGTCCAGATGCTTGAGATGCGATTCTTTGTCCGGACTTGCTATTAGACAGTCATTAACATACGCATGTACGAAGTTGAGACCTCGGAAGACGTCGTCTATAAACCTTTGGAAGGTTTGAGCCGCGTTTCTTAAACCAAAGGGCATTCGTAGAAATTCGTAAAGACCGAAGGGAGTGATGATGGCGGTTTTAGGAATGTCGTCAGTTGCCATCGGGATTTGGTTATAAGCTTTAACCAAGTCGATTTTCGAAAAGACAGTTGTACCTTTCAAGGTAGCTGTCAAATCGTGAATATGAGGCAGCGGGTAACGATCGGGAATGGTTTTAGCATTCAGGCGCCGATAATCACCAGTTGGCCGCCAATCATTGCTGTCCTTTTTAGGGACCATGTGCAATGGGGATGCCCATGGACTATTCGATGGTCGAATTATTCCTAGGTCCATCATGTGGTCGAATTCGTTTTTTAGCTAACCTAAGCTTTTCGGGAGCGAGTCTTCGGGCTTTCGAAAATACAGGTGGTCCTGTAGTCGAGATGTGATGTGTAACATTGCTGATTACACAAGGTAATTTCGATTGCGATTGGTATATCCCGGGGTATTTGTTGAGTACTGCTTGGTACAAGGGGTCTATGGCGTGCTTAATCGTGACTGGGGATAACCTGCAACCAGAACAAGGAGTTACGCAAACGGACAACTTAGTGTTTCCGTCTATTAACCTTCGTGCGCGTGTGTCGATGAGTAGATTGTGGTGTTGTAACAGGTCAATACCAATGATTGGCATAGAGACATCTGCAACAACGAAAATCCGGTGTATGGGTTTACGTAAACCCACGTTAAGGTAGACGTACCTTTTACCGTAAGTAGCGATCGGCTTTCCGTTTGCCGCCTGTAAACTTAAAACAGACTCGCGAAGTCTGTCGTC